AGTGGCCTAAACGGTCGGAGCTTCCAGATGAAGGTAGGAAGAGGTCTCCTACAAAGGGGGACTTCGTAGTGGGGTAACACAGGGGTCGGGGCTGGGTCCAATCCTGCTCCTACTGCTTCTACGTCAGTGACTTGATTGAAAGCTCGGAGAACCCATGTCTCCTGTACGCGGATGATGTAAAGCTAATAGGCAACCCCAACTCTGAGGCCATCCAGAGGAATCTAAGAAAGATCTATGAATAGTCTATGCTATGGGATTTACCGCTAAGTATCAGCAAATGTCAGAGACTCATCGATCAGGAGGGAAGAGGGACAGGGTAGATATCCCGGCCCACAAAGCACTGAGGGAGAACTCGATGTAGTGAGGGAAGCCAAGGATCTTGGTATTAAGGTTCAGGCTGACTTCAAACCAAGTGCATAGTGCCGACAAGCGGCAAGAAAGACACTAGGAGCTCTTGACCAACTGAAGAGAAAAGTTATCTCCAGAAGACCGGAGGTTGTACTACCACTGTACAAAGCCTGCGTGCGTCCCCCCCTGGAGTACNCCACTGTACAAAGCCTGCGTGCGTCCCCACCTGGAGTACTGTATCCAGGCCTGAAGCCCATATCTAGTTGGGGACATAAAAGTACTGGAGAAGACGCAGTGGTACTTCACTAGGAGAACTCACCAACACCAGCATCCACATCCTGAGCTACGATCATTCCACATCATTTCAAATAAGGAACCTTAGATATAAGGACAGACTGGAGAGCCTGGAGCTTTTCTCCCTGGTGAGGAGAAGAAGGAGGAGGGATCTGAGTGAGGTGTTCAAACTCCCAAAGGATTTGGACGACATTGAGGAAGAAGGGAGACCACTACTACCTCCCAGCGAGAACCAAACGTTAGGGGGAAATGATCTTAAGTTACCTAATATCAGGGTATCCATCTNAGACTGCCCAATGAAGTAGTCAATTCCAGTTCAGTGAAGGGTTTTAAGACTGACCTGGACTCTGCATGGCAAACAACGTGATTGTCCGGCAGCTCCACTCCCTCCTTCTCTCCACACTCCTATTCCACTCAATCTTTGACTTATTGTCAATCCCTATTTGCCTCTTTATCTATTACTAGTAGTTTTTATTCATTCTGTTGCGTCCCTTATCCTCACCCTCCCCAGTATTATTGGATCACTAAGTCTGCCACTAGAACTCCTCAACCTATAAGGTCGGAGTTGTTACTTGGTCAATGCCGGTTTCAAGGTCTGCTTTCCTGACCCATATAAGGCGTGACCCGCCTGTGACCCCGAGAGTGGGAGGTCAACAGCCAACTCTCCTGAAGTTTTGATCGCAACGACGAAGAAGAGTCATCTTCCTTTTCCATCTGTCGCAGAATCGGGGATCATTGGAGCCCATCGCAGCAAGAAACTGGAATAACTGACACACCGATGTCAACATCCTGTAACTGAACTGAACTGAACTGAACTGAACTGAACTGAACTGAACTGAACTGAACTGATGGAATGCAAGCGCGGCTACTGGCCAGTAGCGCTTAGGATCACACTTCCATCGAAAAATAACTGTGTCCTCTTTGGTCGGAATGAACATAAACTCGCTCTTTGCAAACAAAGACGGATTTTACGTGCACCCTCGATTCACGCATCCACCGTAACACGTGTGCTGTTTGTATTCAAGATTCCCGGTTGGAACAAAAGTCGAGGAATCATTGGTTTGAATCAATGGTTTTAAATGCTTCCGTAAAGACAGAAAGCATTTAAAAGAAAAACAGGAGGTGAATTGATCACATAAATCAACTCAACTTGGAGTGGCAAATCTGAAGTTCTTTTTGACTATTCCACCGATGTCATCGACTGCTTAGATATTCAATGTTCCCCTAGATTTTTTCGATATAGGAGCATAATGATAACCAATCTATACGTAGTCTCCTTTTGTGCTCAGTCTCAAATTTCATCCTTCGTTGATGCATTTTTACCGTCTTTCGTTCCCCTGATAGACGTCAGTCTCCATATCATTTTTGGAGACATTAATCACGCATCGAATTATCCGACAACCTCTTTTGGCTTAGCTTCTTAAGCGTTCAATTAGTGTCATTTCTTCGTGGTTTCCTTCCAGTCCCTCTCTACACAATGCAGTCAACTTATTCACTAACACACTCAACCACATGTTCAACTGACGATGCCCTATTAAAACTCTATTCGTCTGCAACAGCAGAATCGCAACTCTCATTGTTGAAATCATTCAGAAGACAGAAGGAACCATCGTACAAATCTATAGACTGAGTGACTGTCAACTGTTATACCAACTTGAACAAAGCTGAAGCTGTGTCGTACGCGTCCCAGCTTCTGCAGTGTAACAATAGTAAGCGAATTTGGCAAGGTATCAAATTGTTGTGTGGGGGTAAATCGAAAAATCCGAATTGTACAGCGGATATGAACAGTGTTAATGCAGCATTTATCCAATCATCAAGCAATGCCGTCACGCCATTTGTTCTGAATGATGCGGTTCAAGTAGAAGCCGTTTCGAAAGAAGCAACTTTTAAGCTTCTGTGCACCGTGAAAAACACGTGCAGTGTTGGTCCCGATGATTTTTCATTTTCCTTTCTGAGATATGGGGCCTATTCTCTCCGTGAAATATTCACATCATTTTTAAACAATTCCTTAAAATCCTGCTCTATACCAGACTGTTGAAAACCAGTAACACTTGTTCCGATTCCTAAAGACCCTACTTCAGACATTTTAGACAAACGTTTTCGTCCTATTGCTTTAACCTCTGTTGAACTTGAGCCAGCAGAACGTGTTGTTCTTACGAGCATTCAGTCCTCAATTGATGTCCCATATGATGCTCTTCAGTTTGCCTATAAACCAAACAAATGCAGTTTCCTCACTTTTACATAAAGTTACCAAATCCTTGAATGACTCTGCGAAATCTGTTCGTTGTGTGTTTCTGGACTACTCATTTGCTTTTGATTCTATTCCTCGTTCCCTTCTTCTTCATAAACTGGAGACCTTTGGTTGTCCTAGACAGTTATTAGCTTGGCTTGCCGATTACTTCTCCGGGAGAACTCAATGTACTATGATTGGTCGGAAGAAATCCAAACCATTGTTGCAAAATTCTGAGGAACATCAAGGTGCAGTTCTTTACTCATACTTCTTTTCCACTAACATTAGTGACTTGACCGCTAACGCCGTTATTTCTCTCTTCAAATATGCTGACGATGTGGTTTTGTGTCAGGCCATCTCCGAATCTTATGGTTTTTCACACTTTTCTGACAACTTGGAAAACGTTAAACAACTTTCCGCCACATTAGGCCTATCTCTTAATCCCTCCAAATGTTTCAAATGTCTCTTTACACTATTACGCTCTTCTTTCCCATCTGAACTGTCATCGATTGGGTCCCGGGTAAACTGTATTAAATACCTGGGATTTTCTTATTCATACCAATCTTACTGAACCTCTCACTATTGACATCTCGTCACTAAGCTTAGAGAAATTTATTTTTCTATTCGTAAATTTCGTCAGTTTCGTATTCAACAAGCAATTATTTCCAAATTCGTGTAGCGGTGTGTTTTCTCGTTTTACTCAATTTTTCACCTGTTATTTTTTGCAATCTCCTAAAGGAAGATTTCAAACTGCTCGTACATTAGTAGCCACATTTCTTCAATCCCGCTGGAGGAATTGGTAACTAACCTGTGTTAACGTCGTTTGAATGCATGTCAAACGTTTTCGCATAAGATTCTTATCAACTCCACACATGCGCTACACGCAGATTCAACTTCCTATTGTTCCCATCGGTCAACTAGATACCAATACCGTTGTGTTCCCTCTCGAATAAACATATATCGTAAGTCTACAGTACCATCATTAGCACGTATTCTAGCTAACAAAGAACAGGTTTTCACAGACTGTTAACAGTTTTGGGATTTAGAACTCTTTTATTCTCCCTCTCTCCAATTTGTATATTTTTGACTGAAATTCTTTCAATAACAGTAACAATAACAATGAAATATACACAGAAAACTGAATGAATTCCCCTAACAACTCTCTCACTTTTCAGTGAATGTTCATGAAAGCTACCATGTAACACTGAACGTGCTATTCGGGTATCTGTCGACTGCACTTTCAAGTTGCTGTACAAGAACCCCAGCTCTCGATCACCGTGACCGTTGACATGTTCTATTGAATCGTTCTGTTCTCGTCGGTCGTGCGCCGAAGATTGTAGAACAATAGAAGTTTGCGGTCATTGGGCCCGTACGCGAATGGACATATCTTGAGTTTGTGGATAGAAGAAGTAATTAATTGTGAATGAGTGAATGCTGGTTCCTATTTGAAGTCATGGTTGATTCTTGGTCGGTGCACAATTGCGCCCGTAAAAAGCCACGGGTACCCAGCATAGTGATGTTAATGAATCTGACCCACTAGGAAATGAAAAGAAAACGATCCCCTTCACACTTTGCAAGGGTAAACAGGGCGGAGGGGGGGGGGGGTAATCTGAAAGATAAAGCCTTCATGATATTGGTGACAAACGGTTTCTCCCAAAGACCTTATCCTGTTCCTCACACATCTATAGTCACGAAGACAATCAATCCTGAGATAGGAAATATATTTGCTTCAAGTAGAAGCATATTTGCGAGGTATTTTGGGCGGTTGGGAATGATTTCAAATCGAACGTGTTCCAAACATCCGCTTTCCCGACTCGCTTGCAGAAAATATGGTATTCGTATTTCAATTCCACATTCGAATGTGTTTTCGATTATCACATTCAAATTCACGTGATTGATGTTTTCCCCGCGTATTTCTTCCAGTTCAAGCCCACTCATTTCAAACTGGTGCATTCGACACAATAGCTGGATAGGTTGAACACCTTTATGAAAAGAGCTCAGGATCGCCGAAACATACGGCAGACTTCGAGAATGAAATGCTGGGCTTCGCGTGGGGAGATCGAGAGATAGCCCGAGCAAGCACATGTACACGCGTATTGATCACATAACTGCCGGATGCACGATCAGACTATTTCAGTTCATCCGATTCCGGCCGTAGCACACTGTCGTCTGTGGACAAGTTGCGTACTGTGCTTTTCAAAGCCATCATCTCCAAACGTCGAAATGTGAGTGAATTTATTCGGAACTCGATTACTGTGTGAGACTGAGTGGGATGAAACTGTGCACGCTTTTTGTCCGATTTTCACTCACGTCAAGTATAGATAGTTAAACATTTATCATTGATTAATCTCAAGTTACCAAGCAAGCTTAGACTTCATGCTTTCCGCAACCGGCTCAACACAATATGCTTGCAATTAAGCTACGCCACTGGCAAAATTGATCATTCTCAACTAAGTTGATGCCTTCTATCGTTATATCGGACAAATCGATGGTCACACATGCGTAGTTTGTGCGTTTGTGCATGTGCACGGGATCGACTGAAGCTGAATGAACAATAATTACGTCATCATGTTGTAACTAATGCTTTTTGAATGTTTTTTGAACACGTGGTAATTGCCTTGATTATTGATCGACTTTTAAAACCTGACCTTTGTCGATGACTAACCTTTGGCCTTGTGCAGTTCACGGAACGCACATGTGCACATTGGCTGTGATTAGAATCCATCCGGGGATTGGTCCAGCGATTGCTGGCGTTTCGATCCAGGTGACACCTTTTTTTGAACCAGTATAGATTGATAAATACGCTGCGACAAAAGTACTGTGCCCTCAAGTTTTGAAGAGAAAAATAACTAATCCACGCTGCCGTATACATTATTACCAGGATCTGGATGACAGCTGAGAGGCAAACTGAATTACAAAATTTTAGTTAATCGTATTGGACCAAAACATCGACAAGATCACAACTGTCGCTCCGATCAAGTATACAGACACACACACACACACACACACTCGGTGTACTGTACTCATTCGTGTCAGTTGGATAGACCGAATGCATGACCGTGTTTGACATTGATACAAATCAGTTTTGTGCATACAATGCGTGTAGGAGAATTCGAATCCACTGTTCTCATTGCTGCTCGGATAGTCTACGCTATCTTCAGATTTAGGTGAGAAACCGTCACTTTGAATTGAGAAACCGTCAGTTTGAAATGAGAAGAAAACACTGTGGTTAAATCCGATTCCGTTCAGCGCTCTTCAATGGGCAATTGATCCCTCGTTTTTTTACCCCGGATTGAACCTCTGTCTCTGGGCCGACCCTCATTCCTGCCGATTGTTGAGCTGGCTGACGGACGTCTAGTCGGTGGGTCGACGAAGCCGTGCGACGTGCGCGAGACAGCGCACGTAGCAACCCGACTAGACAAATGGGAACGAAGGCTGACAGTTTCGTGCGCGCTATAGCGAAAGCACAACTGGTCGTAGTAGGTCGGACACTGACGCTAGCTCTATCACCAAAGTTTACTACAGTAACTACGACCAGGAGAGTGTTTTGTGCTTACGGTATAGTCCGAGCGACGCACTTTTCATTGAAGGATCAAAGGTCTATTCGAATTGCGACATTTGTTAAGCGGCATGGGTTGGACCTATTGAGGTCGTCCTGGTATGTTTTACTGGCTGTTTCATTTTTCACTTCAGTTTAGACAACCAGAAACCATAGGTTTCGGTGCAGTGGTTTTGGCCGCCGTCTTACGGTTGCCAATTTGAATTCTGAAGCAGCAGAAAAATTGGGAGCAGATAAAAATATCTAACAGAGTTGTTAAAAGAAAAGACCAAATTGCAATACTGCACGATTTATGTCCAGGACGATTTCGCTGCACCTCAACGTACTGCAGAAAAAACATCAGTTATATAGGAATTTAGCATGACAACAAAGCAGAGTAAAATACAATGAAACAGACAAACATAAAATGGGGGAGGGGTTAAAAAGACTATCACCAGGGTAAGGTTAAAATAACATAAAGTTCTTTTTGTTGACACAAGGGGGCTTCCATCGACTGATAGCAATCGCTTCTGCAAACCGTAGCAATCTTGCGATTCGTGACTTGTAGATAATCCGAAACGCCATGCTTCAGTCGATCTGGTGTTGCGTCATCAGAATATGTCGAGCTACGGCTGATGACGGAGTTTCAACGGAGTAGTTTCGACCGTTGTTTCTATGCCGCGGAACTGACCCAGATTGCGTCATCCGACTTTGAACCTAATTTGGAATATGTTCAACCACCTGGTTGCGTAACTGTCGCTCTGTTCTGCCCACGTAGGTCGCTCCGCACCCACATTGGAATTGGTAAATCAGATTAGAGTTGGCGTACAGAGGAAGACGTTGTTTCACCGGGGGTGTGGGTATTCTAGCTGTCTAAAAGACGATTTGGGGGCCGGCCACATAGTAGGTTCGAGCAATTGCCGATCTCAGCCGTTTTTGAACAAACTGCTTACACCATCAACTTTGAATTGGAGGCACAACGTGACTCATAATTTTGGGGCTGACACAATCGTTTCTTTTACAGTTCTTGGTTTGGTGTTTATTCACGAACGCCTCGGGGTAAGCGTTTTCTGCTAACATCTCCCGAAGGTTTTTTAGTTCTTGTTCAATTTTATCTTCCGTGCAGATCCGTCTCGTTCTGTTGAATAGATTCCGAACAAGACCACGTTTATACTACAGGGGCACAAAGCTCTCGAAGTGTAAATATTGACCTGTCCAGGTCATCTTTCGGTAAACGGATCGGACGATCGTTCCGTCTTCTCTTCGCCTCATGCTGATGTTGAGGAAATTCAGTGTGTTGTTGGCTTTGGGTTCCATTGTGAAGCGAATATTTGGATGTAATCTATTAAGTTCATCCAAAATTACCGTAGCTTCTTCTAGGCTTTCTGTTATCATAAGGGTGTCGTCGACGTGTCGTTTGTACAGGATTGCACGTTCTAGAATGTTATTTGCCTTCTGTTCGACATGTGCCATAAACAGGTCTGCCAGGACCGGGCCTAACGGGATTCCCATAGCGACACCATCAATTTGCCTGTACGCATTTCCTTGAAACGTGAAAGACACATTGATTGTGCGGAGTAGCAATAAACGCTCAAGCACTGACACTTGTAGTTTTACTCGGATTTGATTATTCTCTATATGATCGCAAATGATTTTTACGACTTCACGAACTGGTACATTGGTAACTAGGGATTGGAAATCGAATGAAGATATGTGTTTTCTTTTGACGTTTATCTTGTCCAAAACGTCGATCAATTCGAAACTCTCCTTGACGGTATGTTTCACCATTGATCTGTGGACTGGTTCTAACACCTTGACCAGCCATTTGGCCATTTTGTGCTGTGGTGAGTTCGTCATGGACAGGATTGGCCTGAGTGGTACTCCGGCTCATGGAGTTTTGGCAGGCCATAAAGTTGTGGAATATGAGTTCCTCTAGATTTCGGAGCCCGGGTAGTGTTCTCATCAATGAAATGTCCCTCCAATAAGAACTGAACTCCACAGGCAATTTTACGAGTTGTTAAAATTAATTTGCGAAGAAACTGAGAAAGGTCATGAGTGATAATGTTTACGAAACAACCTTATCCTTGCTTCTCGATAATCATCGATTACTGTGATCTCAAGGTCCTCAGCCGGGAGCCTAAAGTAATCTGATCAGGACCGTTATACCCTTGAACGTTTTCCCTTAATGGACAACGCATTGTTTTAAGGGCACCAATCAGCTCTTTAACTGAACTACTGCATTACACCATTGTAGGAATAGAACGAAGACAACCAGAATTTGGTCAGCTAAATAGATAAATAAACTACAATTTTGAATGAATTATGTGATGCCACAGCCTCGGGAACAAGAAAACAGCTTCAGTATATCAAAAAAACACATTGAAATCTCCAACCTCGCGCATTGCTTTTGGACCGCTTGACCGACAAGGTGTCGCACGGCACCACAAAATAAGGATTGGTCATCTCCTCACTGAGCAACTGTTCTCCTTTCCACAGCTATAATGTCAATGATTTCAAGTATCAGTAAGTTAAATTTTTGTCTATTGCAACCACATATTGATTCTTCGATCAATATGAACTGTATGGGTTGAAATTTACTGCAGAATCACTAACAGATAGAACAGTTCGCCCGAATTAAATTATCTGCTTAGTAATATGTTAAAATAATAAGTAAAATTTAAGTATAGTTAAATTGGTCACATGATGAACGTTTCGGGTTACTCATGGCAATAGTATTAGTAGTGTTATAATTCCACAAGACCGTTCCTAGTCTAGGATAGTTGTTTATTGTAGATTACAATTGGGATATCACTAATTTGACATACATAGCACAGAAATCTCATCTGAAACATACCATCACAGTTCCTGGAGGTACACCGGGTAATGAATGTAGCGATCGGTAGGTAGTCTTTGAGACCAAGCAAGTTTTCCTCGGTGGTCTTGAAATTTTTGACCTTCAAAAGAAATCAGCAGCTATTTTATACACTACCCACATATGTGAGTAGTACCTTGCAACAGTAGAAGTGGTAGTGGTAGCTGTTGTTGTTGTTGTTATTGTCGTTGTTGTCGTTCAATGCTAATGTGATTCCATTTTCATTGTCAGGACAAACTGTCCGCTGGTTTCTGTCAAACAACATAAGCCGCATGTCAGCGCCATGCTTATGGTAATTCTGTGGAGTGAACGAACGTTCAGCACACAAACTCCCTCGCTGACAGGGTGACTATGAGGAATCATTGAAGTGGTTCCAACCTACAGGATCACGACAGCCATGGAGCGATGCGTTACAGGTTTTGAACAACTGAGGTGAGTCAACCCTCCCAGATGATACAAACCAAGCGCCTATGCTTTTCACTTTTTGGACGGCGAATCACAGGCCGATCGTGCCGACAAATCAGAATTAGTGCGGTTCAAACGGAAGCTGTTTGACACCAAGAAAGTAAATCGGCTATTGGTGGATACCTGTATGACCAATAAACTTTATTTGTACACGTTATTTAATCCCATTGATTTCTTTCAATAAACGATCTGCTACTTCTGTGGCCTTTTTCTTGTGTCTCGGTTACGTGGGATATCAGCATACAAATGCCAGTCCGATTCAGTGTTTCAGTTGCGTCCGTGATTCGTAATCGGTGTCTTCTTCAAACAATACAACCATACAGAACTGTGCTGATCATCGAAATCTATTTACCTGTTTCCAATCGGAAACACGCATTGAACACACTGGATATATCTGGGGCAAGCAAATTTGAGCAGAGCAAAGCATTCTCATTAACCGGACGAGGTCGTTTGCAAAACGAATGCGAGATACGGAAGCACGAATGGAACGCCGTGAGGCAGTTTTTTTTACGGTTGTTGAATCAGTCATCCTACTGACCGACCGACTGACAGACGGAATGAACATGTTCACTCCATTCACGTCAGAACACGTTCCCCATGAAGTTCCACATCACAACAACTGGTTGACCGCAGTACAGAATTGTTTGTCTGATCCTCGGGACGAATGAAACCTCATCATGTTGCACTCATGTGAATGAGAGCAATCTGCTTGGACGGAAACGCAGATATGCGCATTGCACATACGAAAGGGAGATAGATGATGATCCAAGCTTGAAATTTTAATGGTTTCCTCATTTTGGAGTAATCTTCTGGGTTCATTTTGTTATCGCTGTACCAGTAGGCTACGCCCACCAAACTCCTGTTTGGCCCCACAGGATCACAGTCCACTGCCATGCACACCAAAGTGAGCTTGGAGTTTTTTCGTTGTTGTGACACTGAACAGTGAAGAACAAGTCTCAAAGAAACACATTGACGAAGAGCAAGAGAGTGAGAGACCATACAGTACACGTGCAGGGGAGAAGAGTTGTCAATTCTGTCTGTCATGATAGCCCCTGACAACCAGTACTCAAATATCCAAAAGCTCTATGGAAGGTGCACGTTTTGGTATGAAGTCCTAACCCGACTGTCCGAGGTTCGAGTCCTGACAGTGATACATGAATTACGCACTGCTGACGAGTACCAAACAGGTCGAAACAGCTGTTCAATGAGTGCTCTTTGTCGGATATCACAAACCGTTCCACCTCATTTGAAACAGAATGCTCAAATACAACCCCGAGAGAGAGAGCGAGAAGTTGTGTTGAAAAGAGATCAAGTGATAGGTAGAGCTTTCGCTGAATAATGAAACACAAAAATGATTCTGCAATTTACCACGTAACGAGATCGGTTCCCTAACAGGATTTGGTTTATCGCTCAACACGCAACCGCATATCTGCAAACAGCACTGAGATACAAGCTATGCAAAACGAATAGAAATTCCTATTCACTTTCAATCGACTGATTTTACAAAATCTGCTTTCAGATCATCCATACTAGCGTGCACGTTGAGTCCGGTAGGTTTAAATTTCAATGAGTGTTTGTTCCAGATGACGACGATGTGTAGTACGGATTAGCTGTAACCACACACATAGTGACAGATATCTTCCTCTTTCACGGTAATCAAGTATTGTTTGATGGTATTCTTTGACCCATACCTACCAGTTTCCCGTAGTGACGATTTGGGCATTATGAATTGTCCAATAAAGCTAGTTCACATCAAGTGCTACATCGTGTGTGATACTATTTTTACTTTCTGCCTGTTTATTGATAGCCATTGTTTTGTTACAGTAAAAATAATTTTATTCCATCGAGTGAATTAGCTGATTCTGATTCATCTCGGTACATCGTCGTTCGGGCAAATTTTTTTAAATCAAGTCAAGCAATGCTCTATGAACCGATAAAATGAATTTTTATCAATTTAAGAATTTTAACGAATACGCCGTAAACGCCGAGTACGAGATACAGATGACCAGGTGAGGAAAACAGTGAACCGAGAGCACAGCTCACAAACGGGGCAGGCGGTCCCTGGATGATGAGACAACTGTGATGAATCAAGCTTCCCAGATGGCGTCAGCAAAACTCGTACGTGTCACAGCTTCTGGACTACAAACCATAGGCCGCTTGTACCAATCAATCCGAAGCCGTGCGGCCCAAAGAAAAGCTGAAAAACGCCAGGAATACTAGCACGCGATTGGCAGAGGCTTGAATGTCTAATGAACTTGTTTTGTATATATAATTTAGACCCCATGATTTCCTTTAATAAAAGAGCTGCTATTCCTGTGGTCTTTTCCTCGTGTGGGATATTGTTGCGCTAGTCTCACTGCTTCAGTGCTTACGTGACGTCTGTGATTTCGTATTTAGTGGTCATTGCGTACTACAAATAGTACAGTATCCTCAGGTAGCTTTTGTAAAGCCGCAGCTTCCTTCCCGAAAGTTTTCTTCACATTGCTTTGCATAATAAAATAAACAAAGGAAGTATAACATTGCAAGTTTATAATTTTCACGGTTTTCATTGTTTGACAGGTTCTTTCATACAATACAATAATAGTATACACTGCTTAGAGGTTGTATTGACCTGACTGGAAAAATTAATCACGCCACAGATTTTGCTCCGGTTCGGTTCGATTAACTGTGCACTCATTTGACCCATTACACGGATGACCTTTGACCATTGCCCATCATCATGCCCCGATTTGGTCCGACGACATCCTTTGTACTTTGTTGTTATTGTTCTCATACCGCCTCTGAGCGTTCCTGGTCCCTTTCATTTGTGCGTCCTCTACTCTTACCGCCCTTGAAAACTCTCGGTCCCACGCTTGCCATTCCCGGGCGTCATTACATACGAACTACCCCGGATCCGTTCCCCTACCCACGTTTTCGTTATAGTACATTGTCATCCCGTCCTCTTTATGTTGACCTTCATATTCGATCGTTCGATTCACTTGCTTAGTGGACTGCTTTGTTCTATAGGATCCCGTGAACCGCTTGTGTGTCTTGCATTGATCAATGACTGCGCTTCTTTATCGAGCACTTGCGATTGGTGTTTCTATCCCTTAAATCGTTCCTTTTCTAAGCCGAGTTTGCATTCCTTTTGGTGACCGCTCCGCAGGTGCTTTATTCTGCGCCTTGACCTGCATTGTATTTCGTTCTTGTACCGTGGAGACCGGATTGGCCCACAATTTGAGGTATGGTGTTTGCTTTTGTACATATTTGTCTGCTTATAGTACACGTAGATTACCGACTTCTCGTTATCTGGAATCGGACTTGGGGTTCGTATCTATGAGTCACTCAAACACTGGACGACAGTCCAGTACAGAGGTGGTAAATGTAGCCATGTGTACTCACATTTTCCATTACTTTTGTCTCTCTTCACCACAGGGATCAATCACAAGTTTGGTTTTTGAAAGGCTGAGTCATTTTGAAATCAGTTTGATACAAATCAGCCAAATAGTGTAACATTGCGTATTACGGGATAGTCAAACTGAAACTAACTGAGTATATCTGTTGCTCCAGGTGACAGCAACATCATATTACGT